AGTCGTCTATTATGTGCATATACTCGTGTAGTATACGGGTATTGTACTAGTTGTATTAATAGATAAATATTTCATTTGACTGACGGTTTGTAAATGAGTTTTTAGTAAATATTGATTCATATAGCAAATTGGAAAATATTATGTTCCCTTCTATTTTATAATTTCTCTTGGCCTAAAATGCTAGCTCCTATATTAAATGATGTAGCACCAAAAATAACTCGGTGAACCGGCTGAGCAGTTAGCTCGGATAATGGCCGGTCCAGGGGAGCTTGGAGCCTATTTTATGTAATATACGGTATTAGTTAAAGATATTCATGAAAATTGGTGTATACTTACACAGTTATTGAGGAACATCAGAATTCTGATTTATTCAGGAAACTCGTTATCTTGGGGGTAAGTCATTAAACCCCTTATAAATAAGAGACCAGGTTCATTTTCTAATCCTAAGCTCTTGAGATTATGGATACACAATCAAAATATATATTTTCTCACTTGAGCGTCGGAGTATCTACAGGGCCCGGTGCTTTGCAGGTGGATCAGGTTCTTGAAGATGAAGGATCGAGACGTCCAGACTCTCACGCAATCGAGATGAGGCGGTTCGACCGACAATCTTGTGAGTCGATTATTTTTGCTCATCAAATTGGCGCCGTATGTGGAAACCCCTTATTTCTACCGGATGAAGGTAAATCGGCATCTCATATCTTTGTTACTAAAAAAAATATATAAGAAAAAGAAAAAAGAAAAAAATTAGAGGAAAAGGACCGCCGCACTGCCCCGAGGTCCGGTTGTCGTGCTGCCCCGATGTCGAATCACCCGTTCGTCACACTGCCCCGAGATCCGACCACCGCCGCTGCCCGGTTCTTGGCACGGTGGGCGGCCTGCAGCAGAGGTGTTGCTAGAATCACCGTGAAATAAAGAGAGAGGTCGGGGAAAAGAATCACCGCGCTAACCCGGAGCTTGATCGTCGTGCTGCTCTTAGATCATTGTTCGCCCTTCACGAACAGAACCCGTCGGCACCGCCACGACAAGGTCTACTGCGATCTTATTTGGGACGAGGCGTAAGGAGGATGACGATGCCTCATAGCGATCTGATTTGGGTTTTACTTTCAGCTTTTTGGCCATGTTAGGGCCTGATGTATTAATTAACAACTTTTGGGCCATGTTGAGGGCCTGATGTATTAATTGGCCCAAAGATTGAAATTTGGATTGAAATTTGCATTGGAGTAAAAGAGTAGGAGATTAGGCGTGGAAATTGGTTAGGATGGCCCTATGCAGGTAACAAATTGTGTAAATGACCCTTGACTTTATTGACTCAAATTTTACAAATAAAATTTAACAAATAATCATATTAAATAGACATTTACACATATACCCTCAACACAAAATAAACCCTCCTCACCCTTGCCACCTTCCTTCCTTCCCAATCTCTCTCTCGACCTCGTTTTTTTTTCTTCTGCAACTCCTCGGTCTCGCGCTCTCTCTCGCTCTTTTTCTCTCTGCTTTTCTTCAACAATTTTTCGTGGACAATCACTATGGAACTTTCCCTCGTCAATCCAGGTACGAATTTTTTCAATTTTTGTCAATTTGTTCTTTGTTTGGTCCATTGATATTGGTGGAGCAAGTTTGATTGTTGTATGTGAATTCATCTTATTTTGCTAGTTTTGATGGAATTGAATATGATAATTTGTGCACTCTATGTATTTGATGAAATGCTTGTAGGATTGAGTTAATGAGGTAAGATAGTAATTTGTGCACTCTATGTGTTTGATAAAATGTTTGCTATGCTAGTTGTTGTATAGTTTGAACCATTAAAAATCACTTAAATTGTAACTATATTTAAGGTATAGGTGTATTTAATCGACCGGGATGGAAATATAACCATAACGAATGTACTCTCGTTCTGGTTATATCGATGGAATGACATTATTAACGATTCTATCTTCGTTATATATGACATTAGGACGATGTTTTAAACTCGTTTCGATATTTTAGGACGATATTCTATCTTCGATGGAATGACGTGTTAACGATTCTATCTTCGTTATATATGACATTAGAACGAAGGTAGAATCGTTATAATTGTATTCGATCTACAAAATTGTCACTCATCTAAATAGTAACTTCACTTTGCACAATCTTTATCTAAATTATGTGTATGTATTTTATCCTTCATATTAATTAGTAATTGTTTAATTAGTATCTAATAATTTACCCCAAAGTCCAGATTTCATATGTTTAGGTGTGTGATAAGATTGTGCCAATGATTTTTTAGCTTCACTAGTCTACAATAACTTGAGGAATTTTTCTGTTTTCTGCTTTGAAGAATGACATGATAAATTTGCATGAAAAAAAAAATAATAAAGCTTGTTGACAGGGGATTAGAGCACCCATGGGTACATCTAAAATGTAGCTCTCAACTCTTGGTTTTCAGTATTTATATTTCAATGAGTACGCAATTTTGTTACTATATTTTTATTCACCTAACTAGAGATGTTAAATAGACTCGCACTAACAGTTTTGCAAGAGTAAAAACGATCTAAGTTAAAAGGGCTAGCAATATGCACATTTTTTTAATAATTAAAAATTAAACATGAAAACAATTTATACAATGAAATATGTAGTTGAGTAATATATTGAACAAAATAAGTAAAACTATTTTTCTTCCTATAACAAGACAAATATAGGTATTAAGAATTTTATTTGTATTAATATAAATAAAATGAGTTGTCTTTGTGATGAGTTTTCTTTAAATGTGTTGTCTTTCTTCTCTTCTTTTAGGAACGGAAATGGAGTTAGCGTACGATATACCTTCGTCATGCTTAGGAGTCGTGACCAATAGGTGCGACCTCAAGGTTGCCGATCATGTATTGGAGAAGCTAAATGATGTACATAAAGCTCTATTTGTGAAATCATGCTTCCGGCCACTAGTGCACATTCCTAATTTGAAATTGGCGTCTCAAATAATCCACCACCTTCTTGAACAGCTATTATAGAAATTTTGGAATGATTGTAGTCACGGTATAATGCATTATATAATAGAGGTAGTACATTGTTATAGCTATAATTTATGTCCATTAGATAAAATAATACATTACATAATGAATGTACCTTCTTTATAATAGCATTTTATCAGCCCTTCGCAACCCGATTGAAGGAGTTCGATGCTGAGATCCGGGATCTCGACATCGAACTCCTTCGTTTACAACGAGTGTAATATCTTTGTACGGGATTATATATCGAGTTGTAGGTGTTTTTTATCGAAAATGAACCATAACGAATGTACATTTGTTACAACGATGGTACAATCGTTATGGTTCATTTTCGATCAAAAACACCAAAAACTCGATATATAATCCATTACAAAGATATTACACTCTTTGTAGGTACAATTTGACTCATTTTTCATGTAAAATAAGGAATGTACAAAGATTCTAGATGATCCATCCATTTTTCAAGAACAAAAAAAAAGAAGAATATAGTTATGAGTATTTCCAATTTCGATATGAGTACTACCACACTCTAATGGGTCCAAACCATCGTTCAACGTTGATATATGACCAAGAACAGTGTTTTACACGTGATTCCATAAAAAAAAACCAAAACGGGAGCACTTTCGTTACGATTTGCACCATAACGAATGTATATTTGTTATAACGAATGTAGACTCGTTATGGTTCATTTTCGATCAAACATGCCAAAAACTCGATATATAATCCATTACAAAGATATTACACTCTTTGTAGGTACAATTTGACTCATTTTTCATGTATAATAAGGAATGTACAAAGATTCTAGATGATCCATCCATTTTTCAAGAAAAAAAAAAAAAGAAGAGTATAGTTATGAGTATTTCCAATTTCGATATGAGTACTACCATGCTCTAATGGGTCCAAACCATCGTTCAACGTTGATATATGGCCAAGAATAATGTTTTACACGTGATTCCATTAAAAAAAAAACCAAAACGGCAGCACTTTCGTTGCGATTTTCACCATAACGAATGTATATTCGTTATAACGAATGTAGACTCGTTGTGGTTCATTTTCGATCAAACATGCCAAAAACTCGATATATAATCCATTACAAAGATATTACACTCTTTGTAGGTACAATTTGACTCATTTTTCATGTAAAATAAGGAATGTACAAAGATTCTAGATGATCCATCCATTTTTCAAGAACAAAAAAAAAAGAAGAGTATAGTTATGAGTATTTCCAATTTCGGTATGAGTACTACCACGCTCTAATGGGTCCAAACCATTGTTCACGAACATAAATAGGATTGACATTCTCTTCATTTTCATTCACATATCTCCACGCCCAATTGCCATCCGTGCTCTTTTTAAACTCAACATAGTGGCATACTAGTATCCACACCATCTTTGCTAAAATAAATCTACAAGAAAAAAATATATGTTACTTAAACAAGATAATTGTGGAAACACATGTTACTAAAATAGGAGATAATATACAATGCTCTTAAGTTTACTCTTTACAATTTATATATAAGCAACTATTTTAGTCATAACGAAAGTATATTCGTTATGAAATAATCATCTAACGAATCTACATTTGTTATGAGCAAATCATCAAATAACTACTGTACATTTGTTACGACAATGGATAACCACTGTACATTAGTTATGAAATATCAAATGCGACATCATCTAAAAAAATGGAAGATAAAACTTGAATGGCACAAAAAACATGAAAACCAAAATGAAACCAAAATGCATATCGAAGTATAATAACGAAACTACATTGGGATATAACATAACCAAACTACATTGGGATATGTCAAAACGAAAATACATTCGTTATGTCATAACGAAACTACATTATGATATGTCATAATTAAAAACAATAGGATATGTCATAACGAAATTACATTCCTTATGAAATAAACATCAAATAACGGATCAACATTGTCTATGAAATAATTAGATAACAAATATACATTCGTTATGAGATTTTCTTCATATAACGAATGTACATTCGTTATAAAACAATATAACGATTGGACATTCGTTATGTACCAAAAAATTAATAAAAAAAAGAAAAAAACTCAATGCCACAAAAACATGATAAATATGAAACCAACATGTTTATCAATCATAATATATGAACCAAAATGCTTTATCTCTAAAATATCAACAAATCCTAACATGTTTTAATTGTTGATCTTCCACAATCACCACATTTCTTTTGCAATATGTAATCCAAAGTTTATGTGTAATGATCATATTTTGTTCTCACCTTTTCAAAAGAAGAGAGGATGGTGTGAGAGAGAGGAACAGAGCGAGAGGAGCAGAGCCGAGGAGGAGCAGAGATGATCTTTTTTACGATCAATTTTTTTTTTATTACAAAGTTGGTAACATAAAATAGAAGTAGGGTATTATAGTCATTTACTATCTAAGGCTATTTTAAGTATTACAATAATTCTTTTACTTTTATTTAATGAAAGAGTTAGTTGAACAAAAAAACATTTTGAAAAGGTCTTTTAAATAAAAAGAGTCTTTGACCATCCCCTTTAAACAAAGACCCCGGATTTTTGAGCAGTAACACAGGATGACATAGGGGTTAAAATCGAATTAAATGTATCTAGCGAGGGAAGAGGCCCGCACAAGAGGATAGCCACTGGATCGAAGTCCGACCGCCGCGGATCGCAACTTCTTGCTGAACACCGGCCCCGTATCCGGCGTGAGCAGTGTCCGTTAGGGGTCGTCGCCGTCGACGGAGGTCCGCCGCTACCAGGCTTGGGACGCGGTGTGAAGAAGACATAATCAGAATAAACTGAGTATTAAATCTCGATCCTAGAGGCGCAGTGACAGTGTTTGATCACGGTAATCTCATCAATTCTGATTTAGGCCGAAATTTACAAACTTGGGCTTCAGTTTATAGTTGTTGGGTTTGATAATTGGACCTAATGTTGGCCCAAGTACTACAATGCTCACATCAGCCGCCTTATTTAAGTGATCCTGTAGGAAAAGGNGAAAAAAAAAAAAAAAAGAATGGAATTAGTTTCAGAAGCCTGACGCACAGACCTTGTGGTTCGAAGAGGTGAATTATCGCCTTAAAGCGGGATAGTCGGTGACGGTGTTGCCTGAATTTTTCTGAGGATATCTTGTAGCCATACACTTCAACTGGCGGCCATTCATGCAAATGAGTTCAGCTCCATCAGCGCAGAGCATCTTTTCCAACCGTCTTCTTCCGTCCGAGCAGCAGCCTTATGCACCCGTCTGCGGGGTTACAATCCTCCCGTTTGCTCCCGACGATCTCGCACAACGACCTTAGCGAGCACACATCAGTCGTTCGCTGCTGCAAGGTCAGCAATCCCAGGCCCGAGAGGCGGAAGCCTAATGTGTTAATTGGCCCAAGGTCGCATAAGTTGGTAGGCTGGTAGCTGTAATTTCAAATTTCAGGCGAGGAGGGCCCGGGACGACACGATGGGTTATTTCGAGTTCTGAGGTTTTGAAACGAGAGGTCGGGAGGATCGGACGGCTCGTGGCTTGCTCCATTGTTTTTCATAGAGAGGACAGAGAGACCCGACTAGGTGTTTCACGCCACATTTATTTTCAAAGCGGGGTTGAGACGACCTGATGAGCTTCAAGGTTTCGCGAGGAGAGGTTGAGATAATTCGAGGAGTCGTTGCGAGCTTTATTTTTTTTTTTTTTCGAAGAAAGGATGGAGAGACTTGGCAAGGTGTTTCGCACCACATGGTTATTTCCAAAGCGAGAACGGAAGGATACGGCTATTTATGAAGGTATCGGGAGAGCCAGATGAAGGCTTTGGCATTTTATAGCAAGAGGTCCGGAGAATCCAACGAGGAATTGTGAAGTTTGGTAATTTACGTTAAGCAGTCGGGACGACCCGAGGAGATGTTACAGTGCTCCAATATTCTCTCACGAACTGGCAAGAGGGGGCAAAGGGACCTCGATCACGGACCCGATGAACTCACCGAGCTCAGTTTAACATCCGAAGACAGCTTGGCTGAGGGACGAGCTCATGTGGCTCGGATGACCTCACGCCGAGTTGAGGTCACTTCACAAATTCGAAAGTTGAGGTCGCTTTGGCACTCAATATTTGCCTAGAGAGGATTGACTCGAGGAGAAACTCAGCAGCAGGGGTTGAAGAGGCTCGACTAAAAATGTTCACACCATGGTTATATTCTTCAAAGATCACTAATGGTATTTCAACTCCAGGTACATAAGTTAGTCTCTACTCGTTCCAATGATCAAATGTAGATATCGTGACAAGTTTTGTTGGGTTATTTCTTGCGAAGAAATATTATGTGCTTACATATCTTTCGTCATACGATTTTGTTATGCTAAGATAAGTGCAGGGTTGTCCTAGAGCCATAAGATACGTGTTGAAGATGTCGCTCGAGCTCGTGGAGCTCGGCGATAGTCGAGATAGGGCGAGAGCCTGTTGAAGTCGCTCGAGCTCGCGGAGCTCGGCGATAGTCGAGATAGGGCGAGAGCCTGTTGAAGAAGTCGCTCGAGCTCGCGGAGCTTGGTGATAGTCGAGATAGGGCGAGAGCCTGTTGAAGTCACTCGAGCTCACGGAGCTCGACGATAGTCGAGATAGGGCAAAAGCCTGTTGTAGTTGCTCGACCTCGCGGAGCTCAGCGATAGTCGAGATAGGGCGAAAGCCTGTTGAAGAAGTCGCTCGAGCTCGCAGAGCTCGGCGATGGTCGAGATAGGGCGAAAGCCTGTTGAAGAAGTCGTTCGAGCTCATGAAGCTCAGCGACAATCGAGATAGGGCGAAAACCTGTTGAAGTCGCTCGAGCTCGCGGAGCTCGACGATAGTCGAGATAGAGCGAAAGCCTGTTGAAGTCTCTCGAGCTCACGGAGCTCGGTGATAGTCGAGATAGGGCGAAAGCCTGATGAAGAAGTCGCTCGAGCTCGCAGAGCTCGATGATAGTCGAGATATGGCGAAAGCCTGTTAAAGAAGTCGCTCGAGCTCGCGGACCTCTGCGATGGTCGAGATAGGGCGAAAGCCTGTTGAAGAAGTCACTTGAGTTCGCGGAGCTCGGCGACAGTCGAGATAGGGCGAAAGCCTGCTTAAGATGTCGCTCAAGCTCGCGGAGCTCGGCGATAGTCGAGTTAGGGCGAAAGTCTGTTGAAGTCGCTCGAGCTCGCAGAGCTCGACGATGGCCGAGACAGGGTGACAACCTGTTGAAGAAGTCGCTCGAGATAGGGCGAAAGCTTGTTAAGGACATCGCTCGAGCTTGCAGAGCTCGACGGTGGTCGAGATAGAGCGAAAGCCTGTTGAAGATGTCGCTCGAGCTCGTGGGGCTCGGCGGTGCGCGAAAGCCTGTTGAGTCATCCTTACTGAAGCTCAAGAAGCTCGACAGGTGTCCAATTCAAACGATTACCAAGCTTATCCTAGCCCGGCATGAAGTTAAACTCGTCGCCGCATTAGGGCAGGATAGTCATTGTGTTTATAAGCTCGGCAGTATCGTTGTGTTTATATGCGCAGCAGCGGGTCATCGAGCTCGTAGACAAATTTAGGGCGAACGCCTGTCGTGGTGTTGCCCGAGTTCGTGGAGCTCGCTGCTGGGTCCTCGAACTTGTAACCAAATTTAGGGCGAAAACCTGTCGTGGAGTGGCCCGAGCTCTTGGATCTTGGCAGTGGGTCTTTTGACTTGTAGCAGGGTCGAGGGCAATTAGCCCGTCGAGGCGGTACCTGAGCTCGTGGAGCTCAGAAAAATAGGCCACAGTGGAGGTCCCCGACTCGAACCGGCAAAGACGATGTCGATTGGAATAGGTCGTTTGGATTGCATGGACCTTTGTTCTGGCGAGTATTCACTCGGTGAACCGGCTGGGGTGGTTAGCTCGGAGGACCCAAAGGAGTTTTAGTTCTGCCTTGATACTCGACCTTATTAGAGAGTTTGCGTATACAGAGACCTCACCTCTTGGAGGTCGTAAATGCTGGAGTCATCGTTACAAATTAAGCAAATAGCGGGAGTGTCAAACGTATTATGGTGGCAGAACATCGAGTAGGTTGCTCGGAGACCACAAACTCAAGGAAAGTGCAAAGTTGGCCCGAGAGCCATAGTTGCACGACAAATGCAGTAGAACTCCGACGTGGTAAACCATGGGGCCTGGACGAGCCTAGGATCTTGACGCCATAGTCCTACGAGATAGACTTGGGCGAAAAATGGATTGTTCTACTCTTAGACAAGTCTTATATTCATAAGCTCGTCTAGAGTGGGGGGGGCTAGATGATGTAGCACCAAAAATAACTCGGTGAACCGGCTGAGCGGTTAGCTCGGATAATGGCCGGTCCAAGGGAGCTTGGAGCCTATTTTATGTAATATACGGTATTAGTTAAAGATATTCATGAAAGTTGGTGTATACCTACACAGTCATTGAGGAGCATCAGAATTCTGATTTATTGAGGAAACTCGTTATCTTGGGGAGTAAGTCATTAAACCCCTTATAAATAAGGGACCAGGTTCATTTTCTAATCCTAAGCTCTTGAGATTATCGATACACAATCAAAATATATTACGAGGCAGTAAAGGAGATATGAACCATGGACCGTGTGGCCTGGTAAACAAAAACTCGCCCTGTATGGTGGATGACAAATGTACTAAAAAATTTCCAAAGAAGTTCGTTGAGTCCACAACTGTTGACGAAGATGGTTATCTACGGCATAGACGTCGTGACAATGGAACATCTCTTGATAAGAATGGTATTGTTGTTCACAATGGATATGTCGTGCCTCATAATTGTCGTCTGCTTATAAAGTTTGGAGCGCATATTAATGTTGAGTGGTGCAATCAATCACGATCTATAAAATATCTATTTAAATATGTCAACAAGGGTAATGATCGTGTGACTGCATCATTCTATCAAACGTCTGCAGAAGGAGATATTGAAAGACCGTTGGATGAGATAACAATGTATTACGATTATCGGTACATATCTTCGTGTGAGGCGGCATGGCAGTTGTTGGGTTTTGAGTTACAGTACAAAAAATCTCCCGTCCAGCGTTTGAACTTCCACTTATTTGGAGAAAAAAACCTTTTATTTGACGAAGATGATGATCTTGAAAATGTTATCAATAAACCCACAGTTGATGAAAGCTAATTTCTTGCGTGGTTCGAGGCAAACAAAATATATCCTAAGGCAAGAGAACTAACATATGTTGAGGCACCATCAAAATTTGTGTGGAATACAACAATCAGGCAATGGACACCTCGAAAAGATGAGGATCAACCCTCTGTAGGCCGTTTACGATACGTACCTCCCAGCAGTGGAAATAATTACTACTTAAGATTATTGCTCACTATTGTGCGTGGGGCAACATGTCATGAGGACTATATAAAAGTCGGTGAAGTCCAGCATCTAACGTATCGTGATGGTTGCTACGAGCGCGGTTTGCATCTTTGTTGGTGTTTGGTTCATTTGGAAAGCCGAATGATGTCTGGACAAAGTGTTGGCAATGCATGTCAGATGACATTTTGTACAGACATCGCCGACTATACAATAATGATGGTAATCATTTACTTTTTATAATATGTTTAATCATAACTTGATTTTTATCTTTATATACAATGTTCTAATCGTTTTAATATTTTTTTTATTCCTACTCATAAATAATTGGTTTATAAGTTTGCTGCTCACTGAAGAACAAATCAAGAACCTGGCCCTTGCTGAGATTGAGAATTTATTAAGATGACGTGGGTCAATCCTTCGTGAATATGAAACTATGCCATTTCCGGATAGGGAGAACATCAATTCAAGTTCTAATTGTCTAATTTTGGATGAATTGAATTATGATCGAAAGGCCCTCGCTGTTGAACACGATATGCTACTTAAGAAAATGACAACCGAACAGATGAGTGTGTACTCAACAATTATGTCCGCTGTTGAATCCGGCCAAGGAGGGCTCTTTTTTGTATATGGTTATGGTAGAACTGGGAAGACGTACCTGTGGAGGACTTTATCTGCTGGCTTGAGATCCAAAGGTGGCATAGTCTTATGTGTCGCATCCAACGGAATAGCATCGCTTTTGTTGCCAGGTGGATGAACAGCGCATTCTCGATTTGCTATACCATTGAATCCCCACCAGGAATCTACTTGCAGCATCGATCAGTCAAGCCCTCTAGCGGAATTGATAATTTGTGCTTCTCTAATAATATAAGATGAAGCACCAATGATGCACAAGCATTGTTTCGAAGTTGTACAGACATCGCTGCAATGTATTATGGGAGCAATTGATCTTTTGAACTTGAACAAACTGTTTGGTGGGAAGCTGGTTGTTTTAGGTGGAGATTTTCGACAAATCCTTCATGTCATTCCAAAAGGTAGCCGTCAGGACATAGTCAATGCTGCCATTAATGCTTCTAACATATGAAGGAGTTGTATTGTGCTTAAGCTTACGAAAAACATGCGCCTTCAGGGACTTGCTAATTCGGATGAACGTGATGAGCTTGCACCGTTTGCAGATTGGATAGCCAATATCGGAGATGGAACTATCGTAGGGTTGAATGATGGATGTGCACCTATAGACATACCCTAGGACATTTTGCTTCAGCCATCTGATGATCCTATTGCTCAGATCGTTGAAAGCACATATCCAATGTATAAAGAGGCACCCGACGATCCAAGTTATTTGAAGGATAGGGCTATATTAGCGCCGACGTTGGATGTGGTCGAGTCTATCAATCAGTACATGACATCATTGAATTTGTTGGATGGTCTTATGTACTTGAGCTCTGACAGTATGTGCAAATCGAATTCTAATAATGAATTTTTGTCTGATCTCCATACGCCTGAGTTTTTGAATAGTATCAAGTGTTCCGGAATACCGAACCATGAGTAGTATTTGAAGATTGGAACTCTAGTCATGTTCTTGCGGAACATGGATCATTCTATGGGTTTGTGTAATGGGACACGATTGGTAGTGACAAAGCTATCGACTCACATTCTTGAGTATAAGATACTCACATGAGATCATGCTGGTGATAAGGTGTTGATTCCAAGAATGGCCACCATAACTCTTTCTGATGTTAGAATTCCTTTCAAGTTCCAGCGGCGACAGTTTCCCGTTATGGTTTCTTACGCCATGACTATAAACAAGAGCCAGGGACAATCCTTATCTCATGTTGGCTTATTTCTTAAGAAACCAGTGTTCAGTCATGGCCAGTTATATGTTGTTGTTTCTCGTGTCACTAACCGAAAAGGTTTGAAAATCTTAATTTGTGGCGAAGATGACGTGCCAAAGAATCAAACCAATAATGTTGTATATAGGGAAGTATTCAATAATATATGATCTTTTCAATTTAATGATATGTTTATATATCTATTATTATGATCATGATCATTGCCTGCATAACACAATTTATATACAAAATTGTTTTTTAAAAACAGTCTAGATAATAATATTCCCGTGCATCGCACGGGTTATTACTAGTGCAATATAATGATTGACATAAATTTTGATGTAATACATCATGGTCTTATATATCATATCAATTTGAAGAATAGTAATTCTTACATAATTATTTGTCATTCATTATATCAAAAAATTATGTTAAAGTAGTTTTATCTTTTTTTTAAGAGAAAGTTAGTATAGAAGTATATTCTTTTATCAGTTCTTTTGGGGGAATATTACAAAAACATGTTATTTACATGCTAGCAAGTGAAATATTAGGTTGAACATATATAGAATGGTGGATAGAATCTTATCTATTAATATATAAAGAGGCAATTATTTTTATTTGAAATAGTAACTAAAAAACAACAAAAAAATATTTGGTTCCCGCTTAAAATATTTACTAAATTGAGTAATATTTTTTCCCAAAATTTGAATAATCTCGCCTATGTGATATCTTTATTTTTTAAAAAAATTTAAAATGTAAACATTGGTTCAGTTTGGAAACAAAATCTGGCCTAATGTTGTATTTATCGGATATATTTATGCTATTTATTTTATTAAACTCCGATTATCTTGTCAATCAAAAAGTCTGAATTTTTGTTAATTTAAACTATCAGTTTACTGCAAACATTTTTTTTTTCTTGCCAATAAAAATTACGAATTTAGTTAATTTCAACAAAAGATTACCAATTATAAAAAAAAATACGATTTTGTCAATAATAAAATACAATTACACATATGAAACTCTTTTTTTTTTTCATTTTTTGTTCATAACCACAATAAAAACTAATTTTAAACCTATTTATCATTGAAGTCCATAAGGTAGCACAATTTAAGTACACTACAGTTAGAAAAGTAAATTTTATTTGCATATCAAATATTAGATTTTTATTTTTTTTCAATACAAATGTTAAAATCTAATTCCATAAGATAGCACAATTTAAGTCTTTTTAAAGCTCCAAATGATAGCAATTTGACATTATTATACTTCTAAAACAGTACCCTAGGCGTAGTAAAACTCATTTGCACGATTTTCATACCTAATTAACAATTCAACAATTGAAATTTTTTTTATAATTTCACCAACTAAAAATCCGATATGTAATAATTCTAAAATAAGTATAATTTGAATATATTGAAAATCGTCTTGATAGTAATTTGACAAAAATAAAATTCTAAAAGAAAAGCCCACTACAGTTAGGAAAGTCAATTTCATTTGCAAAAAGAAAAATGATCACGATTCTTCTCATATTAATAGTAATTTGACAAAACTAAAATTCTAAAAAAAAAAGTCCACTACAGTTAGGAAAATAAATTTCATTTGCATATAAAATATTAGATTTCAATTTTTTTTCAATATAAATGCTAAAATCTAATTCCATAAGGTAGCACAATTTAAGTCTACTACAGTTAGGAAAGTAAATTTCATTTGCATATAAGATAATAGATTTCAAATTTTTTTTTGTAATATACATGCTAAAATCTGATTCCATAATACAAAAAATATATCCAATTTCAGTTTATAAAATCATTCCATATAAATGATATCGTATTTTATTGTTATGATTAAAATTTTAATGTTTTTATTTAAAGACTATGGACACAAGAGTTTGTCCCACAATCAACTCGATTATTGATAATTGGTAGTACCTTGTGTGCTAAGGTGCAATAGCAAGATGATGAGTGAAGATGGCGAGATGCATTGCACCAAGTGCACCCATACACATGGTATTGCACAATTAGAATATTTTTTTTTTGGCAATATTAAATATTTTTTAATTAATTATTATATTTTTTGGTACTTAATGACATGCTTTTCGTATTTATAAAGATACAAGATTCAATTTGGATTTGCTGATGCTTTTGCAAATGGCACTTTATGTTGGGATAGAGAGTATGAACGAATGATTGACAAATTTTGTGAGTTTCTAAAACGTGAATTTTATGCGTTAAAAGGTGATTACTATTTAATAAAAAATTATCAAATACTTAAACTTTTACCAATCAATAACGTTGTGTATAGAGAAGTATTTAATAACATACTCTTTTTTATAATTTGTATTTCTCTATTTTTTTCTTGAAGAAACATATTTAAAATAAAATTTATAAAAAAAGGTTTAAGGAATAAACCCACCGTACAGCGCACGAGAAGTACACTAGTTAACTATTATATAGCGAACAATAATAAGTAAAATTATTATTTTCTCTTATATCAAGGAATAAATATATATGATAAAATTAAATTTATATTAGTATAAATGTGTTAGTGAGATTATATATTAATTATTTTACAAGTTAGTCCTAACATGCTCATGTTTAATGCTCTGACTAATAAAACAACGCTAATTAAAAGATGTGAAAAATAGATTACAACCCTATTTTTTTAAACTTAACAGTGATTAAAAGAGGTGAAAAATGAAAGGTAACCCTATTCAGACTTAAACGGGACTTAACGGTGATTAAAAGATGTGGAAAATGAGTGATAACCCTTCTCAGACTTAAACGGACAGCGCTTGTGAAAATAATTCATTTAATATCTGTGTTCCGTGCATGTACTAGTTTTCTAAAAAAGAATCACTGCACTTAGGCCGGTTGGTTGGACTAATGACGCGAGACTTGTTGACGGTTGGCACGTGTGAGCCGATGAGTCTCATTAAATGCGTGTTTTGTTGAGATTCCTCTAGTTTTGCTATTTTCTTTGGCATTTATTATTTTCCTAATAAATGAAATAACGTTAGTTACTGGGTGCAGACTAGTCACCTTCACCTAATAAGATAAACATCAATTTTGGATAAAGTTCAATTTCACATCAACCAGCCTTCATTTTAAATCAACCGGCCAAAAAATCCAACTAAGTGTCATTCCTAACACTAAAACTTATAGCATGATATCAATTAGGGTCGTCGAGTTTTGTCCCTTTTTTTTATTTTGGTTAATTCTATGATTTCTTATTTGATAAATTTTTAAGCACATTTTTATTTCTTTCACACAAGCAAAAGGAGGGTCAAAAGTCAAGAGCCTGACATTAAACTTGAAATCTTGGATCATCTCCACCCCTTATCTCTATTGTAGCGCGGATTCCACTCTAATAAAATCAAACATTCGTCTCTAGCTTTTGTCTCTACATTTTACTCTACATCAAATATATTTTTTTATTCATTTTATTTCAAATAAATTAATATATAAATTTTATCTTTAATTATGTTGTTTTTATTTGTGTATATTATGATTTATGTGTGTTGAAAGTTTTTGATTATAATATTATGTTATTTTTATTTGTGTATTTTATGATTTACATTTGTTGTAAACTTTTAATTTTAATGAAATCTACTTACTGGAATATGTTAAATTTTTATTCATATGGTACCATTTTAATATTAAAAAATTACAAAATAAATTATAATACATCAATAAATAAAAAGTACAAAATTATTCAGAATCAAAAATACATTGCACAAAATTATTTAACATAAACATACATTTATTAAAATGTCATCTGTAGAATTTTGTATACATTGAATTTTGGCAGATTGTGGTCCATACCATTACCATGGGCTGCACCCAATTTTACATTTACCAGTAGCTGATGGTCTGTGGGACTTTCATTCTTACTAATACTTTTCATTAGTCAAATCCTATGTAAAATTCAATCCAACTCTAGAGACCAATCTATCTCATCAGAATATATATAAATGAGTATATCGAGTATATATATTTCTGTGTATATTTTCATTTTTTTCTTGAAACAATCATTTCTTATCAATTTTACCAACCACGCCTCACGAAAGAAGAATTAGTCACAAGAATTAATCATTTTATACACATCCTCTATTCTATTTCAAAATTCTCTCCTTTCATACCATTTTTAAGCTGTAATTAATAATTTGTACAAATTTATTTCCATCAATAGAAAATCAAAATGAAGGGTAAAGCAAGCCAGCAGCACAAATTCATCCGTATAATCGCGACCCCTTTTCGGGCCCTCGCAAAGGCCCGGGATTTCTACGTGCAGAGCATGATGAATTGCGTGGACCGCAACATCGTAGGGTTGCAAGGGACTTCGCAAGCACCGAGCCTGCCAAAGAGCTTCAGCGCCAGCTCGGCCCGAAGCGATGAAGACTACAGGGAGCTTCTTCGGGCCGCCTCGGCCCGAAATATTGACTGGGCCAACTTGGGCTCGAGGGGCGGCCCACGGGCCATGCCGCCCAGGAGCATCAGCGTGGCTATGGGCCGGATAGATGAAGAAAGGCCTTGTTGCTATTTTGGTGAAGAGGTGATTGGTAAAGGTAATGTGAAGAGTGAATTGAAGTACCCTAGAAGCAAGAGTCATGCTGCTGTTACAACAACTGCTTTTTAATTTTTCTTTTTTTTTTTTTAA